ATAATTATGATATGCACTTAACCGTTTCAAATCCATAATTGCTTCTTTTTTCTATTTAGAGCCTTCTTATTCAAAAATTGAATATTTATCACGGACTGATACATAACTTATACTCTAGATGACTAAGTATTTAAAACAAAATATTGCCATTCAAAATGAACTGAAATAGCAGAAAAAAAGATTGATATGTTCTTATATAAATCATGAGATATTATATTGATATATCATTCATCATATTTTATAATTTGTTTGAATATCATATAAAATGAGGTATTTTGGTCTATTTTAGATATAAAGATATTACTTGAAAAAACAGTAACAAAATTTACCTTTTCAATCAATCCAATACAAAGACGTATCGGTTAGTCATCGAAAAACGTAAACCATGCTTTTTTTCAGTAAGAAAATTTCTTTCTTCAATACAATGGAATATAAATCTCTTAAAACTGGAAATATCTTACGAAGTATGCTTGGAAAAATTCTTCTATTTGTTTTTTCTTCGAGACCAATGAGAACAAATCTTTGATGTGTCACCGAAGAAAATGAAATTATTATTTCATTGTAAGGATATACTGAGTTCTTAAATATTTTTCTTTGATACTATGATATAGTTTGCGATCATTCGAAAACGTTTTTTTTTTATTTAAAGAAAAAGGAAAAAGAAGCCTTCAGAAAATAGTTATAAATTTGAATGTTAAATTCTTAATCTTGTCGTAACTGTTAAATAAACCATTTTTTTCAGTATATCTCTCTCTCTTATAGTCAGACGACCAACAATATTTAACTGTATGATAATGTTCTCTTCTCTCGCATAAAAGAATTATACACGCTCATATCCAGTAATAGGAAAACGAAAAGAAAAGGAAGAGAAAAAATGCATGTACACATTTTCTTTTACGTCTATGGACGAGCCAAATTCAACAAGTGAGCAGAAAAGAGTTATTTATCTCATTCTTCACTTGTCATCCGATGATATGTATACAGATTGTGTGAATTGATTATTTGTATAATTCGATCGATTAATCTACTGAAATATTTTCACTTCAAGAGAAAAAATTGTACATTGGTAATCACATAAATCATAGTAGAGCACAGACGAAGTAATCCAAGATTCGTTGTATCAATGGCCGACGACGAATCACCACTGGTTCGAGATATTTTTATTAGTGCAGCATTAATGCATGATATTAATGATGATAGTCTATCTCATCTCGACTTCATTGATACTGATAGTAAGTTTCTTTTTAGCAGTATTTAAAAATATACAGATGTACATATCTTATAGTTCAAACTGATGATGAAGCTATCGCTTCTCCATTCGATTTATTCTCGTTGAGTTTTAAAGAAGAAGAAATAATCGAAGAGACAATATCAGCGGATCAACTATTATTAAATTCTAGCTTCGATCTTCCAGAAAGTAGGTTAAATGCGTTATAGTAGTCCAAAAAATTACTTACATTCTTATATAAACTTTTTTAGTTTCTCCATTTCAATCATCTTCTCCGTCGATCGTCATTGATTGGTCACAACATATTGTTTCAAGCTGTTCTGTAAACTTATTACAATTATTATTTTTATATTTCGTACTTTAACTATTTTATTTAGCCTCCAATTGATTCAAATCATTATTCTAGCTTGTCGTTATCGTTTAGCAATCCTCCTGAACCTATCTATCATGTACGATATTTAAGTGAAATTACAAATTCACCAGTCGATGGTAATATAGTTAATACGAAGAAAAAAACAAAAAAAAATGTTTCTGGACGATATCTAAAAGGAACACATGGTCGACATGTTACAATCGATGTAAGTTGTGAAACGAAATGATCATATATACATTACTAAACACTCTCTCTTCAATGCACGTATCAATTATTAAATAGCCAATAGCAAAAATCATTTTTATTACGAAAAGAAAAGGATAAATGATAGAAAACAGCTAAAACAAAAATATTTGAAAAATGTTAAAGTTTGATTGAGTACATTACCAGCAATGTGATCTGAATAATTATAGTGATCACAATCAAATATTCTCTTTTCCAATGAACTTTATTATAAAAAAGTTTAATATTTGAAAAAGAAAAGCTTTAATCGATCGAATAATACCAACAACTCATCTTGGAATAATATATGATTATACTATCATCAGTATATATGTATAAGTTATGAAAGTTGACACAAATAAGAAAAGAAAAAAAATGAAAATTGATCGAGCTAATAGCTTGTCTTTGAATATACTGTTTTTTCTCTGATTTATACTATCCTGTATATATTTAGTTATTAGGAGAAATGGCACCATAATTATCTCTTGTTCGAAGTAAACAAATCATCTATCGGAAACAGCTGCTAAATTTCTTTCCTCAAGAAAAGTTAAACGATGATATGATACAGTTTGTAAATGAAACATGCCGAAGTCGACATTTATACAGATCAGTGACACTGCAACATCCACCTCCTTTTTTAATATACCCTGGTAATTAGTTTAATTAGCGTATAGAGTGTTGTAGCTCAGGAGAAAAGCTTGAGTAATAGAAATTTGAAAAATAACAATTGGATTTCCTAGAAAAAGTCATGATTTTATTTAAATATAATCAACCACTTATGTTTTGGTTTTTAGTTTCCAATTGATTTGCCTGATTATTGTGATTTTTTCATACGTGTTACTCGTCTAACTGTTTCTTATCAAAATATCTCATTCATTCATCCATATCCTCTTTTTTATTCACATCCAAAGAAAAAAACACATTCTGATGTTATCATCAAAGATTCGTCAATCTATTATAAACTAAACAAAGGAGAAATTTGTTCTCATTCAAAACAGTATGTGATCATATCGAGCATCTTTTGTTTTCACATCAATTTGAATATGTTCGATTACTTTCTTTGAAGATTTCCAAATATCATTCTTACTCGTCTTAAACAATGTCAACTTAAACATATTAATACTTTACGTTCATTTGGTAAGATTTATTCTATTTTATGATTGGTTTATTTGTTTTGTTTTTTTTTTGTTTAAAGATAAAAGTGACAGAACTTATCCATTCATTGGTAATAATGCTAAAAGCAAGATTGCTATATATCAATTAAAAAAGTCTCAACTTGATTTTCGTCTTGTTATCAGATGTAATAATCAAACAGATGAATTTGTAGATCTTAATATTTCATGTCGATCAAATCCATTACTTGAAGGTAAAATTTCGCTAATAATTTTTATAATATCTAATTCTTGTTTTTATAGAAGAAGGAACTGAATGTAAAAAGTTATCAATATCACCATCTTTATAATTTTTAAATTCAATTCGTTTAAGATTAATCAAAGTAAAAAATATCATTGTGTACATTAATTCTAACAACTTCCTAATTCGTTTACTTTTTTTTTCTACAAGTAACTCATATGTATATTTGCTGTGTGTGTGTGTTTTTTTTTGTTTACTATTTTTTTCTCATTTGAACAATAAAAAATATTTAGTCCTAGTTTTCTTGTTGGACTTGTTCAACACTATATGTAATTGGTTTCTTCATAGTAAAAATTAATAAACCGGCAAAAAAGAGATGATTAATAATCAACCAAAACAAAAATTATGGTTTGAGAAACTAATAAACTTAGACGACCCAGGAAGTTCATATGCATGTATTTATCTAATAGAAATTATCTGATAGATTTGTAACGGAGTAAGAGGTAAGCTCAATCTATCATGTATCCATACTGAGTTGAAATACTGCTTCCGCCGCTATAATACATTCAGATGATTCGTTCACAAGTAAGCAAATGAACGGAAAATATTATCCATAAACCTATGAATTTCAATTATTTAATATGTAGTGCATTCATTTGTTCAATGCGTATTTCTCAGTTATTGTGATTGAAACAAAAGAAAAAAAGCCAAAACTTTCTTGAACAGAAGTTTCTAGATAAATATAAATTTTAGTTACATGAATTTCTTTAATGACATATGAAATTAACGAGACAATGATTTCAACTGATCTATTGTATTTGAAGTCATAATGTGTGTATGTATAAGGTTGAATCCAGTGACATATGAAAAATCTCAAAAAGATAAGTACCCTTAAACCTTCTGCCCACAGTTACATGCATTTTAACCTTAAGCATGGCAAATAACAACAAATAGAGTTACAGTATCTCGACTTTTGATTTTGCTTACAGAAAATCTTATTTGTCAGTAGAATTCGCTGATAATTTCACCTGAAAAGAATATATTCCTCCTAAGATACTGTACTTCGAAAAAATAGCAAATTCGAGCATCTTTCGATGAAGATGAATGATTTTAGGACATTCTTCTGATAGATAGACCTATTTGTAAGCAAAGCTTCAAGTCGAAATATCTTCATTCGATTGATTGGTATTTACCATATCAAAGATTAAAGTTCCAGTAAAATGTCTATACCTCTGGACAAAAGGTATAAGAATAAGTATCCTTTTGAAATTTTTTTTAATATCTGACTGAATTCTACCTTATGCCCTTAGTCCGAATTCAAAATCGATTTATTTGTTGAAAGTATTACAGCGTTAGATTTTGTTTCTATTTTTACTGAACAATGTTCAAGTGGAAAAACAGCGACATCTTTTATATATTTAACAATAATTTTGAATATCAAATATTTTTTAATTATTAAATGATATTTTCAATTAAACATCTAAAAATATACTTAATAAATATTTTTATGATCAAATGTTAATATGTATCCTTCTCTCCAAAACTCTCTTAGGACTCAAAAGAGAGTCCAATGGCATCTGCTTTTTGTTGTTTATTCTCTGTAGACTAGAAAAATTTGCCATGCAAAGTATCATTGATTCATATATATTTATCGATGTAAATTTTCATCATTTTAGATGCTTTAGCCACCAATAACTGTCCAATTAACAAAATATATTTCAATATTTATTTTCACAACGCGTGCATCTCACTCTTTTCAAATAATGTCTCAACGTGCCCGTGTTGCGGCTGCTCGTGCAGCTAAAACATCTGCTGCTTCATCATTTTCTCAAACAAATAATAAATCAAAAGCAAAGAAAAAGATCGTACCAGTACGAAAAATTACTCGTAGTAGTGCTAATAGTGGTGCTGTACAAAAGAAAAAACCAGTAAAAAAAAATAAAAAATCTTCACCAACTAAACGTCGTCTTCAACAACGTTCATCAACAAGTACGCGTTCATCAACACGTTTACCTATTACTACTAACACCACTTCCCCTACAACAACACCAAGAAAAAAACGTCTTTCTGGTTTAACAGCTGCAACTCTTCTTCAATATTGTGCTAATGTTCTTTCACCATCATCAAATGAAAAACAACAACAACAAACTGGAAAACGACAATTACGTTCAGCAAACAGTAGTCCTATGTCACGTAATAATCAAAATACAACTAATCGAAAAAAGAAAAAAGTTAGTCAAGCTAAACAATATAGTTTTTTTTTTAATCTATATTAATTTTTTAGATAAAACCAACAACTACAAAAAGAAAATTAACAACTACTACACGCAAAACACGTGCACGAAAAACAACAACAAGTGATGAAGAAACTAGTGAGCATGAAAAAAAACAATTAAATGATGATGATGATGATAACGACGATAATAATGAAAATTCAGATGATAATCATGATAATAATGATAATAATAATCATCAACATACAAGTGAAGATGAAAATAGTGATGATGAAAATATTCGTCCATCACGTCGTCGTACAAATATAAAAGCTAAACCAACTGTCAATCGACGAAAACGTCAAATATCAAATATTTCATCAACAGTTGATATTAAACCAATTCAAACAGAATTAAATATTCATACACGTACACGTCGAGAAGCAAGTTCACGTGCATCAGCAATGATTATGCAACAAAATGAAATAGAACGTAGTCGTTTTCATTATACGTTAGCTAATGAACGTTCAACATCAGCTAATCGTCGACGTCGTACTAAAAGTACAATTACAAATAAAGATGATTCTCATGTTGATGTTACTCCTGATCCACCTGAACAACCATCAGTTGAACCATTTAAATTTAATGTTCCACCAGTACCACCTCCACCAGCAGCAACAACAACTAATAAAAAAGTAACACCACCACCATCTCTATTTAGTGTACCTGCACCAGCATCATCTATAGCTAATGCATCAAATAAAACAGAATATGCTCAATCATTAAATGCTATTACAACAAAATCAACAAATCAATTACCATTAACAACAATAACAACAACTAATTCAAAATATCCATCATTAACAGAAACAATTTTAGCTGAACATGATCGTATACATGGTACAACACCACCATATCATACAACAAAACGTGATAATCTTCTTAAATGGGTACAAGAATTAGCATTATATGATCGTTTATCACCTCCATTTCCTGAACATGAAATTCCTCTTGAATCATTTCATGGTACTGCATCATCAATATCATCAACAACAACAGTGACAAATGATCATATACCATTAAATCGTGGAATAATTATTAGTCAAAATAATAGCAATAGCAATCAAAGTACAAGTGCAGCAACAAATAATGGAGGTTCAATTATTGGTGGTGCTGGTTCAACATCAACAACAGTGGCTGGTACAAGTACAGCAACCACTGGTGGCACAACAAGTAATAACACGCATAGTAAATCAACAGTTAAAGCAACACCATTACAACCACCACCACCACCGCCACCGCCACCACCTCTACTTAAACAACCAACAAATACAAGTACAACTAGTACAACTGTATTTCAAAAAAATCGAACATCAACAAAAGGATCAAATGCAGTGACAAGTATAATTTTGAATTCAACTTATTATGAGTGATCAGGAAGTTTTTAGATAACATATTTGCTCGTTATTAATACGCTAGATAGTATTTTCGATCAGTTGTGTAGATCATAAGCTGTTCTATTATATGTACTATTTGAAGTTTTTTTGTCTTTCAATAGGACACTTCAATTTTCACTTTTCTTAAGTATTCATATCTGAAAAATAGCGAACTGTTATACGTTGAAATGAGCTCTTGAAAAAAAAATGTTTTGTAGCCTTGCTTCGGTCAAAATTACAGCTTAGTTCAATACCGTCTCTGACAGCTTCTGATGTGTACGAAAAGGGATTGAAAGAGTCAACAAAACCTTGTTGATTTCCACTTTCAAGTCTTTCAAAAAGTTTTTCAATACATCTACAGGCAGTTTATATTGAGATTAGCCAAAGCTTAAAAGGGAACTATTTCTATAGGCTTTTTTCGTCTAGTTATGAGCGGTTTACTGCATTTTCAATTCATTTGTAGATAGTTCCCAGAAAAAATGAACGGACAGAATTTCGATATAAAACTTGCCTGTGGACGGTCTAATGAGTCTTAGAAAACCCTGAAATTTGTAACGAAAAACGGTCTTCTTTCGTCAAGATGGTGAATTTCTAAGAATAACTCTTGGCGGTAGACATGTCACAAAAATGGAGTTCACTGAAAAATTCAATAACTCGACGAAGGAACATTCTATCGGTTGAAACTTTCAGAATATGCCAAGAATCATTAGATCTATCTATTGCCAAAATTTTGGATCAAAACTGTATGAGTTTGTCTTTCGGAGAGTAGTTAAAGATGGATATTAAATCCAGTAAATCGATCATAACTCGACCCCAAAGGTCATTGAGGACGAATCGCTTTTGGACTTTTGCTATTCTCATTAATAGCTGCCTGTGAACCCAGTTTGAGTTCAAAGAGCAGGTAGCAATTAGAGTACTTTCCTCATAAGCCCAAATTCAAATTCTGGCCGTGCCTCATAGTTTTTGACTTGTCTGAAATACATTAAAAGTGCACAAACATTTTGTCTAAACACTTTCCGATCATTCATCATGATAACATTGCTTCATACTATTTATTCTTTTGGTCTAGCTGCATCGATTACTGCACCAGAGCATTCAGTTTCATCAACTCCTTTGATTAATTCTTTTTCATCTATAACTCCTGCTATAATTGGTACAACAACAGTTAATACACCGTCATCATCATCATTATCATTATCATCACGACCACTTTCGTCTTCACTTGAACATCATCATCAACATTCATCAACAGCATCAACACCAATACCAACAAACAATGTTACAGCTACAACAACTCCAGCTTTTCTTGCACCATCAGCTGCTGCAGCCGCTGCTGCTGCTGCGGCCGCAGCTGCAGCTGCATTTCCCATCGATTTACGTTCATTTTATCCTCTTTTACCTTGTTGGCAATATCCGGGTAAGCCGCATCAATGAATGACTTGCATGCTACTTTTTCCTGATATGTATATATACACATTATTTATTTATATATTCATTAATTATTATATATAAGTTTTTTTGTTTAATTTTGGACTTTATTATTTCTTTCTTGCATTGTTGTTATGTGGATATTCAAAAAAAGAACAAGTCGAGTTTTATGAATAGTAATCTTATATAAATACAAGCGAGACTCTCTGATATCTCTCTGTACATATACATAATTTTTATGATAATCTACTCTTTTGAAAAGAAAACAATGGCATCAGACTCTCATTCTAATATTCAATTTTGCATGCCTATTCCCCTTTCCAATGCCATATTGTTCGATTGTTGTAGATAGAAAAGAAAACACTTATTCTTTGATTGACAGCAGCTGCTGGTATGTAGATATTCCAAATAAATTCACATATATTCCTTTTTGTTTTATACGCTTTCTTTTTTTTCCCTTTTCAAAAATGCTTTCTTTCTATTTTGTTTTCCTCACTAATTGATTATCGAACTATCAGCATATTGTTTTAAGCGATCATTTGACGATTAAATTCCTTTCTTTTATTTACTTCACATAGTGAAGATTTTATATTCATTGTTTGTGTTTGTTTGTTTTTTTTATTTCATTTTCTTTTTATCCAGCTTGGACATTTTCACCATCGGCATCATTACTTAATCAACAAGCAAATTGTCTTATACCACCATCATCAACACTTCCACCTCCACCATCACCTATTGTTCATCATAAAACATCTATAACACGTCATCGTACAACAACACATTTAGAAACAAAACAAAAAAAATCTTCAACATTAACAACAACAACAACAACTAATTCAAGTAGTAATACAAAACAACAATCGATTATACCAGCATTTGATGAACAACGAAAACAATCATTATCACCAAAAAAAGAAGCATTAACATTTCATTTACATACACATCATCATCATCATATACATAATCCAAATCCACCTATATCTTCAAATACATCATCTTTACTTAAATCACCTAATCCAACTAAAACAACAACAGTACCATTATCTCCTCAAAAATCTTGTATATTAGTTAATAAAGAACAACTTGTTGAAACAAAAACAATTTTACCATTAAGTGTAAATAATGTTGTTAAAAAAGAACATCAATTTATATCATCAACTGATATACCATTATCACCTACAACAGAAAATGAAGCATTAAATTTTTCTATTAAACATTTATCATCAACCAATCAAAAATCTAATCTCATTGATCATGATGAAACAACAAAAAAGACAACGCCAAAAAAAACATCTCCTGTTAAAGGACGTGTTAATTCTGGGTCGAAATCAAATAGGTAAATAAAAATTAATTATTCTTTAAATTCTATAAAGAAAAAAACAAGAATCTTTATTTTGTATAGTTCACCAACTCCATCAATTGGTGATCGAACACCATATACAATTAATTCAATCATAACATCACCTACGAAAATTTCCGGTGCCATTTTAAATACAAGTCCTCCATATTATCAACGTCAACGTTTAATAAATTCAACAGGAACATATGGAACGATGATATCACCTGTATCAAATATTCTTAGTTCAAATGGTGAATTATCAATTAGTAGTGATAGTGATCATAAATTTTCTCAACGTATGCATAAACGTCGTAGTGTATCAGCAGCAACTGCTAGTGCAACAACGTATATTTCAATTACTGATAAAAATTCTCGTGCAACACGTACAAATTCATCATCAGCAGTATCAATACGATCAAAATCATCGACACATATAACAAATACAAAACGATCACAATCACCACATTCAGTTACATTAATCGGATCTAATAAAAATCCTAATCAAAGAAAAAAACAAAAAATTTCTCATTATTGGGCATTATTTGGAAAATCTGAACAGAAATTAGTTTCAATTGATGTAAGTTATTATCTTCTTTTCACATGAGAAAACATTCCCAAGAGACTAGTAGAAGTTGATAAGAATTGGTCTCAAGACATTGTCATTCTGAAGTTATGACAATTTTACTTCTGAGACCTATTTATAAACAAAAAATATTAGTTCGGTTGATAAATCATACTTGAGAACATTCCTTTATTTGAAAAAAAAATTCTATATCTAATTTCTTTTTCTTTTTAAGGCTGACAAACCGCCGGTTTATCGCGAATGTTACTCATCAATTCGACATGTTAAAGAAAAAGATATTATTAAATCAGATGATTGTGTTTTATTACGTCCTGAGAATGCTGAAAAAAATGGTATAACATCATATTTAGCTAAAGTAAAATGGTTTTGGAAAGAACCGGAATCAGGTAAGAAAAAGAAAATTTTTATTAAACACAAAAGAAAAACATCAAGTTTTCATTTTTAAGGTGAAATTCAAATGTCACTTATTTGGTATTATCATCCTAAACATAGTGAATTACCACCACGTGTCAAAGAACACTTTTTACCAAATGAAGTTTTAGCATCAAAATATTGGGATTGTGTTAATGTTGCTTGTATTGAAGATAAATGTTATGTACTTAATGTTAATGAATATAATCGGTAAATATGAAATCAATTTTTCATGTTTTAAGATCTAGATTGAAAGAACTTAATGAAATTTTTCGCAGACTGAAAAGGGTACAAACTTGTCCGACATGAAAAAGAAAGAACTTTTCTCAAACTGCTAATTTATATAAAGTGATGACAATAAATCACATAACAAAGTAATTGAATATATGGAGAGGAATATCAAAAAGATAAAAATGTATTCATGGATGCATCCATAATTATGACGTTTAGCACCAACACTATATTCTTTTCCAGCGTCATTAGCGACAAGCAAACATATACTGCACAAAATTGATCATATATTAGAATCAGAAAAACACTAAGTGAATCCTGAATAAAGCCCATTGGGCCCAAAAAGTTCAGACTCGGATTCGGAACCAATCCAACGGGCTCTAATCCTAAATTACTTGCTTTTTTCTAGAGTTTCATTGCAAAACGGTTTTGTCGTGCAGGACACTAGATATATGCATATTGATAAAATTATATTCATAAGCAGCTCAAATATATAATTCAAGAAGGAAGTGCTGAAATAGTATAAATGATGATTTTCTTTGAAAAAGCTTTACCTCGATTTCTGAATGTAAAAAGAATTTTTTTCTTTATAGTTATTGTCTTCGTGAAAAAACATCGGATCTTTTTGAACATCCTGAACCAGTTGGACAGTTAAAATCACTGTTAAACAGAAATACTGTCACTGTTCATCATCGAATATTACCATCAAAAAATGTCGATAATCAAAATATATTCTTTTGTCGTTATGTATATGATTATCGAGCAAAACGTATTTTAAAAAATCCCAGTTTAAATAATCCTAATACAAATCCAACAGCAACAACAACAACGACGACGATGACGACAACAATTAATACTACTACGACAATTTCTGTACCTACGGCAGCACGCGTGTGAATCTCTTTTTTTTTGTTTTTTGTTTGTTTCTTGTATTTTTTTTCTCTGACGTCTTTTGTGCTCGACTAATCTAGTTCTTTTTTTCTTGTAACTACGGTCATTTTTTGTTCTTTGTTTTATAGTTTTCTGAATTTCTTTCAACAGCACAACTTAACTTTAATCTTGTCATCTAAAAAAAAAAGATATGAACATTTGATTATAGAGAAAAAAACTTTATGTGTGATATTCTCTATTTCAAAGTTTTTTTTTGTTTTCTTGTTTTTCATCATTAGCTAATCTTTCTACTTGTTTATTTGCTGTGTGCTGTTTCTTTTTTTTTCTTTTTCAATCGAGCCTTATTTAAATCAACAATTAATGATGCTCGTTACAATCATTGTTATTATGAAATTCTATTATTCTTTGTGTCGTTGTATAAAAAAAAACATGTACATTTTTTGTCTTTACGAACAAAAAAAAAACAAATAGTCTCTGTTTTCTCTCTATATTTTTTTTTGTTTTGTTTTGCTTGTTAGTCGTCTCTACTACTATTCTCCTTTTTTTTCTGCTTCTATATCGAAAAAAAAAAACAATATATTAAAAAATATACATTTTAAGTCTGGACTTGGTTTTCTTGTTTTTTTAATATATGAATGTTCATATTTCTAGATTTATATTAACATACAATCATGTCAGCGAAAAGAGGCCGTGGTGGTGTTGGTGGTGGTAAATTTCGTATATCACTTGGTTTACCAGTCGGTGCTGTTATTAATTGTGCCGATAATACAGGTGCCAAAAATTTATTTGTTATTTCGGTAAAAGGTTTCGGTGCACGACTTAATCGTTTACCAGCTGCTTGCGTTGGTGACATGATCATTTGTACGTTCTTTTTTTGTCTTTGAATTTTAAGAAAATTTTATTTTTACATAATTTGTTGTTTTTTTCTATTTAGCAACAGTTAAAAAAGGTAAACCTGATTTACGTAAAAAAGTTATGCCGGCCGTCGTTATTCGACAACGTAAACCATTTCGCCGAAAGGATGGTACATTTATTTATTTTGAAGATAATGCCGGTGTTATTGTCAATAACAAAGGCGAAATGAAAGGTTCAGCTATAACAGGACCTGTAGCAAAAGAATGCGCTGATTTATGGCCACGTATCGCTGCTAATGCACAATCTGTGGCTTAAATAGAAAAAAGCAAACGTATATTTATATCTGTTTTTTGTTTCCATCATATGAACAGAAAGAAAAACATCAAATAAGAAAAAAAATAAACTTTTTTTGTTTTGTTTGTTATTTTGATTAAATAAGATCTAATATCAAAATATACAATTATGTTTTGTGAAAGAAAAAAAAAAAAACAAAACTTTTATTTTCTTCCAGAATCTAAAAAGAGTATTGCACGAGAGAGTGCAGCAAGTACAGATAAAGTCGAATGTGGATCATCAATGGTATGTTTAAGTTCATCAAATTCTTTAAGAAGAAAAGTTTTTCGTTCATTATTTTTCATTTGTTTATTTTGTTCACCGATTTTTTGTTGATTAACATATGATTGAAATGTTTTTTGTTGAAGTAAATCACCATTTGAAAAATGATGATTTATTGCTGAATGACATGAATAATTTGTTGGTAAACGTGATTGATAAAATGATACACGTCTTATACATTGATTTAATTCATTTGAATTTTGTTTTTGTATAATTATTGGAAGTTGATTTGATATTTGTTTTGTTGATTTATTATATGATGGTGCTTGACATAATAAACGTTTTTCTGATTCGGATGAAAAATTTAATAAACGAAAATGATTTTGTATACGTGAAAAACAATTTGGTGCCATTAATGCTTGTTCATCATTATTATCATTATGGACATTTGGTTCAATATTTTCCAGAGTTTTTCGTAAACAATCAAGTTTTTTATTAAATAAATGTTCACGATATTTATGATTATTTAAATTTGATAAATGATTTTTTTTACGAATATTTTCATTGATTTCATGTTCAAGACTTAAACGACGATCAGTACACATATGAAATTTTAATTTTGTTTTATTTACTGTTGCTTCCATTATTAGCTGCCTATATGTATAGACTTGCTTATATATTTATATAAAAATTAGAGTGCTTTTTATTTCTATTATTTCCTTTTTTCTTCGCTCTCATATTTTTTCTTGCTGATAGTAAAGAAATGATTGTACGTTAAATGATGATTGTTACTAGGACACTGATTGAGGTGAACAATTAAAGCTATTTGATAAGAATTGAATAGAGAGTGCATATTAATTTGTTTATTTTTCTTTTAGATTTTTATTGATGACATCTTTAATTAATAGTCTTGTAGCTAGTGAAAAAACAGTTATTGTCATTGATATTGGACAAGCCTACACGAAGTGAGTCGATTAAGAAGAAACAAAAAAAAGAGATTCGTCATAAGTTAAATCCGTGTATCTTTAATATAAGAAGCAAAGTTTATCGAAATCAATTTACTTTTAAAAAATAAAAACACTTGAGAAATTAACATTTGTAGAGCAATGATAATAATACATCATGAGTGAATTGTAATTTTTTGGTACACTTGAGGTTTTAAATGTATTTGATTAATAACTTCTATTTCTCTTGACCGATTTGGTGAATTTCTTTTTTATCGTATGTTATTCTTCTTCGAACACTTCATTATTTCATGCAATTTTAGCTTTTTAGTTTCATAGTGTCGTTGAGTTATGAGAGATACATTAGTAAAAATGTCATTTTTCGTTGACATGTGCCAAGAAAACGAAACTTTTCGTCTAAAAAAAAGGATTTAATGAATCTACTTTTGCAGAGCGTTCGATATTTTATCAAAGTCTATAACTGATTGAAATTCCATCTCTTCGCTGTTTGTTTGTCTGACATCTACAATGTTTGATACATATAAACTTAATTTTAATTCCTTGTATGAATAGAACTGGCGATAGGCAGAATATATGAAAAAAAAGAAAACTCTTTCAGTAACAAACCGATGAGAAAAAATTCTCTTTTGCCAACTTTTTTTTTTTATAGAAAAAAGATAACCGGACTTCCTGACATTATTCTCACTTTGTAAAATGACGATTTGAAAATTGTCTACTCTATAACTTTTCAATGAGACGCTTGCATTGGTTCCATTATTCACAATAGATATCAAACAGGAAGTTTTCTTAGTAATAGAAATTTCAGCTCTTTTCACTGTAACTCGTTCGAGAATATTTTTTTCTGGATGCAATTCAAATGAACAGTTTACGGCACGCCAATTGGAGTGTATTTTGGTCTTTTTCTGACTTCCTGTTTTTCATATAGAGTTAGAAAATAACTAGAACGTTTGCAAATGAGTAATACTAATGTTATTGTTGAATTAAGCAGAAATAAAATTAAAACACATATCTCTCTTAATACTCAGTGAAGTGTTGAGAAATTTGTACGGCTTCACACAGACGTAGAATATGATAGAATATAGTACTCAAAAACTATTTCGGTCTACTTTCAATTTTCAATATCAATGGTGCCAAAAATTTGCAATTTACTCACGTATAATAAATAAAGTGGATCGCATTTTTACTTCGGTGTTTTCTGTGAAAGAAAATGAGATGAATGGCATATCTTGAGTTTCATATATGAAGTTAGAGTCAAGATCTACAAGAATCATCTATTTTTGATCTAAATGATTGTAATATGAAGAAAAATAAGGATCTTCAGTTTTGTTTTAGCAGCCAAAAGTTTAAGGCACTTTTAGTATTTTAACTACTATATCATTATCGAATAATAGACAATTTTCAAAATGTATTATTACACACAGATTTAAATAGGATATGTTTGAGTATAAAAATTTTTGAAAAATTATCAATTATAATAATTTAATCTTATTGGTTTCTAATGCGAAAGATTCTTTTGTTATAAATTTTGATTTTCCAGTATACTATTAAAAAGAGCGTTGAAAGCTAAATAACATTTTGTGTTTTTATTTTACCATAAGTCTTTATAATAGGGTTCTTTTTTAATACTAATTAAAATTTAATTAGTACTCTATGAATAATTAAGCAATCTAGATGTTGAGAGTAAACTTCTGAATTTCTAAAAAAATATTGCATTTTTTCAGTATAGGCTTTGTTTTATCAAATGAGAACTTGCGCTCCTTTGGCCAATGTGTCCATCATTTGATAACTAATTTTATTGATAATTTTTAGTTTTTTTTTTGCTTACTCCATACTTAAATATTTTCAGAAAGCAATATATGATGAGAAACAGATTAAAGAGTAGAGTACAACATCTCATTTGATAAAATAAAGTCTGTTCTACAAAATACATTATTTGTTAGAGTTCTAAAGTTCATACTTAGAGTCTATATAGCTCTCTCAATCATGAATAGAGTATTATTGGTATTTTAATTAGTACCCGAAAGAAAGCCTGCTATATAAGGAGTTATTGCAGCACCAAAATATACAACATTATGCAGCTTTCAATGCTCTTTCGATTAGTATACTTGAAGATCAGAATTTATATTACGAAACTTGTTTTCAGTTAGTAGTTAATAATATTATTAAATTATCATAATTAATAATTTTTCAAAATTTTTTTATTAAAATTTAGCGCGTGCAAATATGTCTAACAATTGTTTCTAATTTTTGATAACGAAATAATCGACATAATATTGAATGTGTCTTAAACTTTTGTCGTTCACTTTAGTTTTATATATCTTGAAACGTAGTTTGTTGAAGAAACTAATTATCTAAAGAAAAAGTATAATATCATTCAATGAAAAGATAACTTTTTCTAGATGTGGTTTTGCTGGCAGTGCTTCACCTCGTCATATTATTCCAACTAGTATTACAATCGATGGCAAAGTATTCATAGAATTAGTTTTATTCTTTTGTCTGATCATCAATAGTTTTTTTGTTCTTTCAGAAAAAAGCTGTCTTCGAATATGATTCAGATTTAGTCATGTTACATGATGATCGTCTTCTTAAACTTATTCGATCAGTTTACTATGAGTAAGTTAATATGAATAGTTAATAATAAATTTTTATAATTGTATCTATCTCGTTCAGACACAGTATGGTAAATAGTCGAGGTCGAGGTGTTGTCATTGTTGAATCAGTAGTTACACCTACACGGATTCGACATTTACTGGCAGATATCTTATTAAAAAAATTTCAAGTTTGTTGTCAATAAATCATTCTTTATGTTTATACAAAATATGTTACTATTATTCTAGGTATCATCTTTAGCATTTATACCATCACATCTAGCTGCAGCATATACATTAGGCCGAGATACAGTCCTCGTTCTTGATGTTGGTTATAAAGAAGCTCAAATAATGCCTGTGGCGGAAGGTGTTCCGCTAGCAATACAAATTGATAGTTTACCCTATGCAGGCAAAGCTGTTCATAAGTAAAGAAATGGAAATATTGTTTACGAGAAGAATATATGGGTTGACTTTTATTAAATAAAAAAATTAAGAAAAAGAACCATCTGCGGTCGCGAGGTTCATCAACTAGTTAGAATAGGTTTTGTTGAGTGATGGAACATATTGAAACTAGATAAAACTTCGACAAACTCGATAGTGTTAATTAAGGTGCCAAGCAATCTTTACTTTCGATTTTTCAATTTTAAAATAATTTATTCATATTGAATAAACTTATATAAACTTAAGTAGAGAAATATTTCGATGTTTTTTCTCTTCAATTTGGTCGAATTCAAAGGAAAAGGTAATTAATTGAAAAGAAAAAGATCTTTTCAAAAGAGAGACATTGATAAGACTATCACTACAAGACCTCTGCAAAAATTTATCAACTCTTTTTCGTTTCACGAAAAAACAATGCATTATCTTTTGTTAGTCAATATCTAAAACCACATGTTCTTACAGTTGAATCTGTGGATACGTTTCATTTTCATTAATTTAAAAATTGAAAAAAGTGAATGGTGTCTCAAACTTTTCAGTCCATTTTCGATTTTATTACCTTAAACGTTGAAAACATGTAAAAACGCTACAAAAATGTACTTTTTCTATCGTGTTTTCTATAAACAAGCGAAACTTTCCCCTAAAGATTTGAAAGTGATTGACATCGATTCGATCCTGATATTATCATCTTCCATTCGAATGAAGATCGACACAAATGTGTACCGAAGAAAAAAAGTGCGAAGTACAGGAGATATTCTCCGAGAGTCGAAAAGAGGCATGTACATTTTTTTAAAAACAGCAGTATTAATCTTTTTCAATAAAGAGAAAGTTTTCTGGTGAGAAAAATGAAATTTTTTTTAAATTAAGGAGTTTTGTCCCTCTCGCTCGGCTTTGCTGGGTAAGTGCGACGGACTGTTACATAGGTGATTCCAATATTAAAAAAAAAGATTTATTATTAATACTACTGGCGTAACTAGGGCGGACTAGGAAAGCCGTCTCTGTGAGTTTTCACTCTATATGCTTACTTTTTTTTTTGAAAGAGTATGTCACGATACTTAATTCTTTGTTCTTAAGTGAGAAAAAAGAGGAAAAATTCAATGTTTGGAAAAACTTTCAAAAAATGGTACTCTAATTATAAAACTACTCGTCTATAAAATAATCTGGAAGTTTAATTTATCTCGGCATGTACTTTTAAACAAAAGAAAAACACAATTGGCTTCGTAAAGAAGGAACTATCAAATAAAAAAATCATCTCTTTCATGAAAGGTTAAACCGTGCACTATCCTTCCATGCATTTGTCTTAATTTCGGTAATTCGGGCAAAAAACCCAACTCTTTTTTTTAGGAGAGAGAAGTGCTTTAATTGACATTGATTTTTCGCCTCTATCATTTGTTTGCACATGAATTTTTGCATGACTCAAACTGACTAACTACAATACGAGTCATTCTGTCACTAGCAAAGAAAATGATTAGATGGCGTGATATTTAGATCGACGGTTCAAATTTTTTCATCGAAGAATGAAAATCTTGATTGCTTCCAAATAAAATACTATTGTGGAAATTTAACATAAAAACTAATGTGATATTTCTATTTAGACAAATTCAATTGTTACTTGAACAACATGCTGTAATCGTTCGTCAAGGAAAGAAAAAATCATTTAATTCAGCTCATATAAAATTATCAGATGATATTTTAGAAGATATTAAAGGTTTGCTTATTGAATTTTTTCTAAATAAAATATATAAAATATTTTGTATAGTTCGTTGTTGTTTTATTTCACCATTTACTCGTGCACAAATTTATGCTAAAAATAAATTCACACCTGATGAATTGAAGGATCCATTTCAAGAAGCTTCATCAATTGATTATCCATTAGATTCAACGACCATCATTCGTATCCCAGGAATAGTTAGGTATTAGAAGTTTAGAATTAATCTAAGACAAAAAAAACATTCCAATTTTGTTTTTCTAATTAGAGAATTCGCATGTGAAGTTCTTTTTGAACAAGATATTGATGGTAGATCAATAGCAACATTAATACTTGATACTTTACTTCAAGTATATATCTTATATTATTGATTAACAACTAAATGTTTGCATAATTTAGTCATCCATTGATCTTCGTCAACAGTTAGCTAATAATATTTTAGTTATTGGAGGTACAGCAATGATGCCAGGTTTTCTACATCGTTTTAATTCTGAATTAATTTATTTTGTTAATACATCGACATATGTAAATAAATTAGTTATAAAAAAATTTCATTTTCATTCACCACCTGCACAATTGAATTATACAGCATGGTTAGGAGGTAGATGCGTTGTTTTTGTTGAAATGTGTTTAGGATTTTATCATATGTTTAGGTTCTATTTTTGGTGCTCTTGATATATTAGAATCGCAATCAATTATACGTGATAAATATTTAGAAAATGGAATTATACCAGATTGGTTTACAAACGATCAAGTTTCTTAATTTTTTTTAAAAATATTTAATAATAGAATTTGATTTCTTGTTTTAATTAATTTTTTTTTATTAAGATTTTTTTATGATAAATAGAAAGAATTATCAAGATTTTTATATGTTTTAGATAGAGAAACACGCTCTGACCTTCAAATATGAATTATAGCGATATATGTTCATCAATACAAATACTTTATGAGCTGAGACGTAGAGTTAATATCAAGAAATTAATAAGATAAAAAATAATAACTATCAATGGTGGATCTAAAATTTTGGGATAGAAGAAGAAGATGGTGATCATGGTCAAAAAACGTGCTTTGAAGTTCATGCCTCTCTAAATCCGATACTAATAAATCTGCTCATAAAAGATGAATTACTATTTTTGATTTCAACGAAAGTATCTCTAGATTTATCTTCTGATACAATTTTATTGCTTTCTTTTTATATTTGTTAATAATGCGTCAAATTTTATTGTTCACCGTCCTTCGTTTGTAAAATTAAATGTAAAAAAAAATATTTTGTTTTTCTTTTTAATTCTAGATTTTAATGAATATTCGTCGTATTCAACACTTATTGCACCATTCAATCAATTCTTTATTATTTGAGAAGACGTTTTACTTTAAAATTTAAATTAACTAAAACTCTGGTATTGCTCATTTGGTGGCGACTTTAAAATGCTACAATATCATATATTTTTCAAAGTCAAAAAACCATTGACGAGTTGATCAGTTTCTTAACAGATAATTCTCGAAGTTCAGTTTTGTGTCTTGTTGACGAATATTTAGAAGATTTCGACTAATCAAAATTAATACGATATTCGGAATCAGCATAAAAAGCTAAGTTGACCTATATACGATTTGAAACATTTTTGGAACTTTTAGTATTCATCCAAAAATTTACCCTTGGTCTTCGTCAGGCACCCAACGCAAGTTGAATTACACAAAAACACTGCTTAAACACTCTGAAGGAACTTTGACAGTTGTTTAAAGTTATTAGATAGTAAAATGAAACATATCTAGGAAACAAAAGTAGCATTTCAAAAAACTTATATTTTATCTGATCTCCGAGAGGGAACATGAATAAATTTTTCAATGAAGAAAAAAGTCACAGAAATGTTTTAAATTGTATATAGACTGACTCAGTTTTTCACGTTCATTCCAAATATCATATTAGTTTTGACTCAAGTTGAACGATTTTCGATCAAAATCTTCTAAATATTCATCAAAAAGACGCAAAACTGAGCCTTGAGAATAGTGTGTTAAGGATTTGTTCGAATGAATAGATATTTTTGACTTTGGAAAATATATGATTTTGTAACTTTTTAAAAGAGCTATCAAATAGAAGATACCAAAGTTTTGATCATTTAAATTTTTGTATTAAAATGTTCGCTCATAGATAAGAATCAATGATAATTACAGTAAATGTACTAATAATATCTCCTAGTACGCTGAACACATATCTCATTTAATTAAACAATCAATTGATAGTTAAATATACAGGACTTAAGCATCATTCAATATCTATGATATTCATAATCTCAGTAGTATTTTGTTTGCTTATTTTCAAATTAAATCTACAATGATAAAATAGATTATTAGAATAATGGCCAAAATGACATTACTTTGTTGATATCTTTTAGGTTTCAAAATTCGATCGAAATCTTATGAAACTATTACTAATATATTAGTCTCAACACACTTTTTCCGTTGATGTATGATTCAATGAAATCGACCAGGAAAATATTTGTAGATCGATACGACTTCTTATATGTATCCTCGTTCTTGCTGATATTCATTAGTTTCTCGATGTATATCACTTGCATTAATATCAGAGTGAAATCTAGATCGTTTTCTTTGATAATTTTACTGGCAAAAATAAACTACGAAACAACAGGTCATGAACAAAAAAAAAACCATCTCACCTATGTACAAGTATAAGTTTCGCTGGATTATTAAACGATAAATGAACAACGATAAGAAAATGATTGATGATAAAATAGAGAAAAAACCACATTGATATTTATCAAGTATACATTATCTAGATTCAATGAATAGACAAAGTAACTATATATCTATTGGTAATGATTATAACTGTAATATATTGAATTAAGTGTATGAATGAGACTAATTTAAATGTTAGTTTTTATTTCATTCTGATCTTTAATTTGTTTCTAATATCTTAAAAAGCAACAATACGATATAGATTGATTATCTCTAATGAAATAAATTTAATTTCCAAATTGCTGAGAATAAATAAAATATATCTGATTACATTTAAAATTAAACAGATAGTTTTGTTTTTTTAGATACAATTATTCTGTTAATATTTCTCTTACTTTCCTATTTTGATTAGATATTATACATCAGTGTAATAAATTAAAATCGATATTATTCATTTAAAATGTTGAAATATATACTTAATGATCAAAACTTTGTTAGTTATATTTGTCCATATTTATGGTTTATTGGTGCAGTTTTTGTATTGCTTTTTGAAATTATTTTTGATTTTAAAGCTTCTTATGGACGTTACAATACGAATAATAGTGGGGTTCCAGTTCGTCTAGCATGGTTTATTCAAGAACTTCCAAGTTTTACCATACCATGTTATCTTTTATATTATCATTGGTCATCTGTATCGATAACTAAATTTATAATAGTCAGTTATTTTTTAATACATTATTTTCAAAGGTATGCTTTTATAGGAAATTAATTATAGTAATTAAATGCATAAACCTATATTAGTGAGATGGCGTATCTTTTTTTTGTGTTTTGAACGTCATATTTGAATACATAACAATGTCCAAAATCGAGAGAACGAAAAAGAAAAAACTCAAAAGAAATCGAGAGAAAATATAATACGAAAGACATAGATAGGAGAACAGAAAAGAATGGTTACACACTAGAAATGAATACCAGAAAAAGTACAATTGTTTAAATGTTTATGTGATCGAAGCGTATCGATCGAAAGAAAAGAATAGCTTGTTCATGCACACGTCGGCATTTTAACATAATGCGCAAACAATAGTATGACATAATTCATTGATAAAGAAAAATATGAAGAGAATCATGCTTCTATTTTTACATTCTCTTTATTTATATAATGAAGGGTCTTCATATATCCTATATTAATTCGTGGTGGAAAAGATAGTTCATATTTAACAATAATATTAGCAATCATTTTTTGTTTTTTGAATTCTTATGCAATTGCTGAAGAAATTTTGGCATATCATATTTATCCAAATGATTATTTATTTTCATTACGTTTTATATCTGGTACGATTATTTTCTTTACTGGTTTTATTCTTAATCTTCAATCGGATTCAATTTTAAGAAATTTACGTAAAGATAATAATCAACGTGATTATAAAATTCCAAGAGGTAATAGAGACGAAAAAAGAAAGTTTTGTTTTTTTTTAGATACGAATTTAATATTTACTTTTTTTTTTTAAAAGGCGGTCTGTTTGAATATGTTTCTGGCGCGAATTTTTTAGCTGAATCTATTGAATGGACAGGTTATGCTATTTGTGCATGGACATTACCTACACTTGCATTTTCAGTTTTTACATGGGCTAATATTGCATTCGGTCGTGCTATTCATCATCATCAGTATGTGTAAAAATAAAAATTGATATTCTATGTAAATATTAAATTATATTTAGATTTTATCTTGAAAAATTCAAAGATGAATATCCAAAAAATCGAAAAGCTATTATTCCATTTATTTTATAATTGACAATATTTTATTTTATTTTTTTCTACTTTAATAAAGCAATTTTTTTTTACTTGACATAAATAATTAAGCTGAATATTTTTATTAATTATATATTCTAGATGCCTCCTGGTCGAAAAAGTATTAGTACAAGTAGTAAATCTTCATCATCAACAACTGGACAACATTCTTCATCACCATTTCTATTTGGTAAATAAATAAAAGATATATCCTAATATTATGTAATATTTCATTTAAATCTATTAGAATGTGGTAGTGTTGTATGGTGTAAATATAAAAAATACCCATATTGGCCTGGTATAATATGGGAGAAAACACATAAACCAACTCGAACTCTGTATGAAATACTTTTCTTTGGAACATTTAGTCTTGGCTTGTAAGTAAAAGATTTTTCATAAATTATGTAAAAAAACAAAAATTTTGGCTTTTTTTAATGTAGAGGTATTGATCGTAAATGGTTGGAACCATATGAAGGTGTTGCTGAATTTAAAAAACGTATTGCAGAATTAAAAGCTTCTGAAGTATGATATTCTATTATTATTTTTTGTGAAACTCATATAGATTTTCGAAGACAATAGTTAAGGTAAATTTAAAGTCGAAGTATTGTGGTTGCTCTCCCTTCTGTTGGGAATTTCTATGAAAAAATTCTTTTTCATAGAAATATTAATATGTTCTTAGTTTTTTTCTTGAAGTATTTCTGACGAGGAGACGTATACAAGTGCCAGACACTGTTTGACTTTGCATAAAAGCTACAAGTAAATTTCGGTGAGCTTAAGAAAACCATAGAACGATTTGAACCCATAGCTTACTATTGAAGAAATATGACTATTGTCATGAATTTTTCAGTGACGGCATGATGAACCGCTGTGTTGTTAGATATTGAATATCTCGAGTAAGACATGCTAGTTTTCGTTCAAAATGTTCAGCACAATAGAGTAGCTATCAAACGCACCTACAGAAATAAACTCTTCAATAAGAGGTCATTGGCATAAATCGTTTTAAGCTTTTCTTAGTTCTATAGAGACTTACATATAGCCTTAATGCTAAGTCAATCAGCACCCCACAGCTGTACATGCTCTCTTGTAAGACAAAAGAACGTGGAAAAACTTTAAAAATAAAGTATCTTTTTAAGAGACTCTACATCTTGATCCAGATGCATCTTTGTACTAACTGAATAGAAGCGTCAAACAAAAAAAGCATTCTTTCAAAGTTCCATTAAGTTTGAAACTATGCTGAAGCATGCGCACTGACTACACTGAACACGTCTTTTTATAAAACTCTTT